GAAAGACTTTCCACATAAAATTACTTGTGTCTTATACTTGTGATTTGATGATTTATTTGTTAGAATTGGTATTACTATATTTATTTGATACCTGCTAGATTCTTATAAGATAGAGATAATTTGATTTTTTGCTACATAATATATTCTGTTTAAATATTGTTTAATGTTGTTTTATCCCATCAAAGACCTTTTTACCAGTTTTTTTGTGGACGATTGTTCTTCAGCCTAAATGTTTTGTTACGCAAAGATTGGATACGTTCCAATTGGTGTGTTTTATCCTCCCTACATAAGCTTTTTATCTTCTAGAGTGGGGACAGAATTGAATTAGTTGTTGCAGACAACAAACTATTCGTGAAAAAGTCTCACGCATTGGAAGCCAGATACTATGATAAGGATGTTGGAACCACTAGATTTTGCAGGGAGAGACAAGTATTAGAAGCCGATTCATTACACGTCAAATTCAAGTAAAGGACGTTTAGCAAGCTTTGAAAGAAGCTTGTCAGGAACTCTTTTATGGCCAAATGCGATCATACCATTTAGACAGAACCATTTTTTACCAAGGCTTCCTCTTAAATTTCTAATTTGCTCCCAAACATCCCTTCGACCTTGTCTTCGGAGGTTACCATTTATGGACATGCAAAAGCAGCCTTCACCATAAGCAAGGCTCGTTAAAACATTAAAAAAGTTCAAAAAGTTACCCAAAAAAAAAAGAAAAAGAAAAAACCAAGAGTGAGTCTAACAAAACCTTAAGCTAAAACATCATTGCCCCACCATAATGCTAAGCCCCAGATCTACCTCTAGGATCAACATGAAAACCTTCATAAAAATCCAACCTATTTCTTAATCTTTCCATTCTCATCATTATCTCTTTGGTCTCAACAGTGGATTTAAGATTTTTTTAAAGTATCCGCTTGTAACATATATAAAAAGTTATTCACTAATTTATTAATTTTATCAATTGAAAGAGTGTGCAAAAATTTTTTAAAACTATTCAATAGAATTGTTCTTCAAGTTTTTTATTTTTTTTTATTTTTTAATCTTTAACACTCTATTTCAACGTATAAATCCGTTTCTGTTTATCTCCTTCAAGAAAATAAAGCTCAAACTATCGAGGGTTGTCCAAGTCTTTGGCAATTCCAAGTAAAAAGACTTATTGACCCTCGTGTGACTGTTGAATGTCAGCCACCACTACCTTTCATCGCTAACTTTCTGAAGGTCCTCTTAAAATTCCACCAACTCTATATTTGGTAATTCATTAACATTCCACATGGATGAGTTTGATCCTGGCTTGTTCAATAATTTCTTTGAGTTCTTCAAAGTATCTCTCTATTTTAATTGACTAATCTATGGTATTGGTAGCTGACACTGGATGTAATGATAGCTAATGTTTCCACTAGGGAAGAGGCTTATTTGACTATAAATCAAAAGATAAAATCTTATTTAGGTATTATAAACCTATAAATATTTATTTAAAAATTAAGAAAATTTAGGGATTTATTTAGTATTTTTGTTTAAGTTAAATTTTCTTTGAAATTTTTTATTTTCATTTTCTTTCAAACACTTAATTTTTACTATGTTAGCATCTATATATTTGGATATGAAATCATTAAAGTTTGGTGATTTTACTTTTTGCTTTTTATTATTTGGCATTTATTTTTATCTTATGTTTTATTTTTCATTTTCTATTTAGAAAAACAAAAAGTAAATAACAAAAACACTAACCAAACGAAACTTAATTAATTCAAATTGAAGTATTTGAGCGCTTAATTTGAGTTTACTTGGTGATTGAATTGGGTTCTTAATCTCTCGTTCTAGCCTAGCTAGTGTTTCAATAATTGAACAGAGTGCTATTTTGCTGTCAATCTTGCCTCCTTTTACTTTTAGGTCACCAAAGTTGGCTTCACGTTCAGTTACCAGCACTCGTAATTTTCTAAAGCGACTTATGTTTAGCGGAAGGAGTGTAATGTACTTATCATCAGTTGATAATATAATTTAGTGCTTTCTTTTCTTTCTTTAAGGTTAAATGCTAAGATTTAAATTTGGGCATGCAATTGACAAATAAGTAAAATTATGAGATCGAATTTTATATATATATATAAAATTATCTCAAGCAATTAATGAACTTAAGCTAAAAATCAAATTGAAAACAAATTTTTAAAAATAAACCGGCTGGGGAAGAAAATATATGGATCAAGGGAGAAGAAAACTTCTTTTTTGGGAATTATAACTTCAAGACTCTGATATCTGATAAATAAACCTAGAAAGTTTTATATTTGCCTGTATTTTGTCAACTTAAAAGAAGACGGTTTTAACCAGGGATTCATCTCTCAGAATCAATAGAATTGTAGTGAACTTGAGATTAGTGTTTTTCTCATTGCTCTTAAAGATCCGGGAACCAAAAATGTTGCTACAAATACTAATTTCTCTGTTGAAGTAGGCTTAATTTCATTATTAATTCGAGACTGGTGATGCTTCTTTACTTGTGCTATACTTGACTTGAGAAAGCTTCAGCACCACCACTACATGTCTGTCTGGAATTCGTTGGATTTTGAAGTCGGCTATTTCCCATAAACCACAAGCATTAACAAACAGGCCAAGCGAATACATTCATAGCAGAAAAGGATGCACTTTGCTTTGGCTTTTTTCATACGCATTATTTGACAATTTCACCTTTGTAAAAAGACTCTGGCATCGGAAAGCTTTAGGTCATCATCATTCAAGGCACCGTGACCCACACCGAACGCGTTAGGTGCACCAACCAAATTTTAATTTTTAAAGGAGTTATCGAACCAAACCATAAATGTCAATCTTTCTAAAGAATAGTTAATATATCTTACTTTCCTTCAATATGTTTGTTTGATAGAAGTTTGAATACATGGAGGAACATAAAATAAACCATCTAAAAGCATGGGTAAGCTCCGATCAGGTGGAGCTAGGCCTAATTGATACTTTTATAATCCTGCTCAAGGTCTACTCATTTATTTAGGCCCGTTGTTGTTTAGAATATCATTAAAACTTTAAAAATATTTTTATACTAGTATTTTAAATATGTTTTATAATTAAAGTTAAATAAAAAATTTATAATAAAATATTATTTTATCAGAATGAATTTAAATTTATAAATTTTTATCCAAGACTCAAACCATATATGATTCTAGCTAAACTTGTCGTGTAAGTCATTAGTTGACAATTATAGCTCGTCTACAGAGATTGTATAGAGATTACACATCGCGAAAGTTTTTTAACAAGAAGATACGAAAAATCTTATGTAGTTAAAAGATATTGAATATATATTATGTTAATTTTATTTAAAAATTATTATTTAATTATATTAATTTATTTTTTCCTTTAAATAAAGTTGGTCAAAGTCGAGTGACACGCAAGGAGTACCTAACCAAACCCTAGACGAAGGTTTTGCATGTTCGGGTCAGTAAAAGTATTTAACTATAAAAAATTATCTTTTACTAAATTTTAATTATAAAATATTAATTTAAAATTATTTTTAATATTTTCATAACAATTCAATTTAAATATTTAACTATAAAAATTATATTTTATTAAGTTTTAATTATATAATATTAATTTATTTTATTTTTAATGTTTTAATAAAAATTTTAAATAAAATGAACTTAAACGGGTTAGTCTAGTTGAATATTAAACAAGGTTTTAGATATATAAATATATAAATATATATATATATATATATATATATATAAACTTGATTTGATCCATGGACACTTGTATCTTAAACCATTTATTTTCTTTAACTTTCATTAATATAAAAAAACTTCTAAAATCTTATCTCTTTTACAAAATATATTTAATAAAAAATCTACTGAATGTTTAATTTTCAACGACGTATCAAATAATGTTTACATCCTATATTCATTACTTAATTAAATGTTTTAGCATTAAAATTCAATACTAATTAATTTTTCAATTTATGAAACAATAGTATTATAATATTTTGTTCAAGTTTATCAACAAATGAGATACCTAAGGGAATAGAGAATTGCTTTTTTATTATATTTATGTAATTTAATCAATAAATCAAAAGGAGAAAAAGTGGGCCATGATTTAAAGTTGCCAGGCAAAAGCAATCACCGTTCACCTCCACAAAGACTATCCGGTTAATGACTCGTTAATAACAATTTGCTATAACAAAATTTTGTAAGGGCACTTATATTTGTACCCTTGAATTTATCTGTACATTTTATTTTTTATTAATAAAAATATCTTTAAAAGAAATTATTTAATTATTTTTATCTTTCTAAAAAATCTACTTATTTTTGGTTTATGTGATTTCAAAAATGAATATTCAAAAAAATTAAAACTTTCTGAAAATATATATCCAGAAGATCTTTTAATTTTTAGGATATAAATTTCTAAAAGATCTTTAAACTTTCCAAAATTTATGGTTATGCATTTTTTGTGTCTTACAAATATGTATTTTCAGAAAATTTTTAAAGTTTTCAAACATGTATTTTTGAAAAATTTTTATATTTTTTGGATATTTATTTTCGTATATAAACCAAGAATAATATTTTGCACCAAGCGACAAATCCAATCATATATTCAAAATAAGAAATAAATATATTTTAATTTTGCCTTAGATTTATCGAATTATTCTTAATATTTAAAATAAGATTGTGATTTTTGGTCTTGATTTGAAGTTTTTAAGACGAAACTTAGTTTAAGATTTGAATTGTGTGAAGGGAGAAAAAAAAAATAAGGGTGTTTCGGGGTAAGAAGAAAATAAAATAAAAAAAAGAGTAATGAGTAAAAATGTGTGTTTAGGTTTTGAATTTAGTGTAAATAGAATGTGGGCATTAAAAAAAAATGCGATGCAAATAAAATCTTCTTGCTTGAAAACGTGTATATAAAGAAAGAATTAGTGAATTGACTAATTTACTCCACATATCATTAAGGGGTTGGTAACCTAAAACAACATTAGAAAAGATTATAAAAATCAAATTTCTAGAAGTCTGCTTAATCACAATATAAATAAGCATCATGTGGAGAATAGGAACGGCCCAGCATGTGCTCCATTTTATAAGATTATACTGAAATTTAGACACCCCCGGAGTAATTAAAAGTCCCCCATGGCTACACTTTTTCCAACCCTAGCCGCCCAGTTTATCTTTTGCCTTTTCATTGTTTTGGCTAGAGCAGATGATCAGAGCTTTGTGAGAACCATGGACAGGAAGCTTTTGGGGCTGAAGAAAGAAAAGGTTAGCCACTTCAGGATTTACTGGCATGACATTGTCGGAGGGCGGAACCCAACAGCTGTCCCAGTAGTTCCACCGTCAAGCAATTCATCAACGGCCTTCGGGATGATCAGAGTAATAGACGACCCTTTAACCATGGGACCGGAACTAAGCTCAAAAATGGTAGGCAGGGCACAAGGGTTTTACTCCTCAGCATCTCAGCAAGAAGTTGGGTTGTTGATGGCCATGAATTTTGCATTCATGGAAGGAAAATACAATGGAAGCACTATAACAATACTAGGGAGGAACACTGTGTTTTCAAAAGTGAGGGAAATGCCAGTTATCGGAGGGAGTGGGCTTTTCAGGTTTGCTAGAGGCTATGTTCAGGCCAAAACTCACTGGTTTGATCCTACCAACGGGGATGCGGTGGTCGAGTATAATTGTTATGTGATGCATTATTGATGCTTTTTTCTGTAGGTCTTTTGCCTTTTTTCTTTCCCCTTCAATTTTATGCTTTTTTAAATTGGCTTGAATCATGTTTTCCACTTCTAATGTAATGATCACTTTCTTGGCTGGTGGGGTTGGTTTGTACTTATCGAGTTATTACTATTAATAAATATATATTGTTTGGGAGACTTCTCCTGTATGATTTAGACAATTCCACATTTTTGCACGACTTTGAACTTTGAATAGTATTAGTACATATGCTCTATAAGGCATTATTTATCGGTGACAACTACCCAGATTTTAAACATCATTCTATATCACTTTTATTGTATTCATGAAATTTAAAAACTTACATAATAATGTATAAAATAATTTTTATTATAAATAAAAAACTATTAAATATATTAATAATAGAGTTTTTAAGCTGCATAAATAAATTAGTATAAAATGACATATTTTTTAAAATATATTAAAAATAAAAAACTAATTAAAAATAAAATATATCATAATTCCATTTATAAATTTTAAAAACTTCACTTAAAATATGTCAAATAATTTAACTTTTCCAAGCCTGATTTAGCCTGCTAATATCTATGTTTTTTCACCACCAAAACTTTATATTATCCCATTATGATGGATTGGGCTTGAACTTTTGATCGGATGCATGTCACAACAAAGACAGTGGATACGGGCTTTTTTTTGTAAGTCATCTCTTGGTCCATTCTTTGTCCAAGTTTTTGAGGAATTTATTCGCTCCATATTGACTGGCGCATGTTTGGGCTACAATAAAAAAAAAAAATGCTTATTACTTAAATATAACCTCAAACTTTATTAAAATATAAAATAAAATATTTAATTTTTATTGCATGAGAATAAGATTATAATTTTTTATTTTTTAATTATAATCATAAACTTTTAAAATCAATTAAAAAAATCAACGAGAATAACTTTTAAATTCTTTTATAGCTTAAGCTATTCTATAAAAAGCCTATTTAGAATAATTGAAAACTAATTATCACTTATTAAGTATTTACCACTAGTGCTAGATAACCAAAGTTGGTTTTCTGTTATTCCAATTAGACATTTTTTGAATTGATTTTAAAAATTTATGATTACAATTATAGACAAATAAAAAAAATTTTCTTTTAGAAAACTATTTACCTTATTTCATCAATTTCAAAAATAAATAAAGGAAACCTTAAACTCCCCAAATTTGAAAAGCAGAAAACCAAACTCTTTCTTTTTGTTTGTATTTTTTTTGTTGAATATTGTGTATGATATGAGCCAAATGGAAATGCAAAGATTAAGCTGAAACGACAATCAACTCAATCTAAGAAAAGAGAAAAGAGAAAAAAGAGTGAAAAATAAAACACGAGAATATTTAAGAAATTTATTGATTGATACTTATACAATCATCATTCCTCAATTAAAAAATCAGTAATAGACCATGACATCCTAATAACTCTAACATCACCATTCGTAACTAATTCAGCAAACAAAATAACTAATCTTGCCCAAAACTAAATTAAGTGTTATTTAAATTAATATTATCTTTTAGACTAGACTTAACCATTAGGCCTTAGTGATCTACTAGCCCACAATATTTGAAAAGTCTAACCTGTATCAATATGCCTTGCTTTATACCATCCATGTCCTTAAGGATTAAACCAAAGATAGTTCTTTCGAAGATAAAATAGAATCTCTTATGTTGCTTTCTTTGGAAAGCAATTGCTCCACTCTAGACCAATACCTTTGTGACCAATCTACCTCTTTTCTTGTTTATCATTCTGTCCAAAATGGAAATAGGCCTTTTTGCTAAAGTTTCATCCCCATCTAACAATGGCAGTTGAGATTGTGTTGGTTTATTGCCTATCAAATCTATGTTTGTCTGCTTATTGTTTCATTCGATGTCTGACCCTATCAAATGAAACTTCAAATGCTGAATTGCTGTCTCCCTTGCCTGCAAACTCCTATCCATTTCACCTACTTTACAATCACCTAATATATAAAGCATATGTATTCTTGTGGATTACCCATACACCACTTCATATGGATTCGTCTAAATTAAAGAATGGTGGCAAGTGCTATACCACCACTAAGCTAATAAAATCCATTTAGACCAGTCTTGAACTCTTTCATTAGACATACACCTTAAATAAGTTTCTAAGCACTTGTTAACAACTTTAGAATGGCCATTAGTTTGAGGATGACAAGAAGATTACATCTTTAATTCAGTTCCAAGTAATCTAAATAACTCTTGCCAAAAGAGACTAGTAAAGATCCTATCTTGATATGTAACAATACAATTTGGTACCCTATACAATCTGTAGACATTATCTAATAAGCTAGTGCCACAGTAATTACTGAATAAGGATGAGGCAATGTGATAAAATCGACATATTTGCTCAAGCAATCAATTACTACCATAATTACTTCTTTGCCAAAGGATCTTAGTAAAATTTCTATAAAATCCATGCATATCTCTGACCATACTAGCTAGTGGCTAAGAAAGACCAGGATATGCAACTATGTCACCCTTGTACTATTGGCAAATTAGGCATTGTTTAACAAATTGTCTAGCTTCATTTTTCATACCCTTACAATAAACAACATTGGCTAGCCTTTTCATAGTAAGCTCCATTCAAAAATGACCTCCAGGTACTGAGATATGAAAATATTTCTACAAGTCCTACCTAAATGCCATATTAGCTCCCACCATTAGTTTACCAGTTTCTCTATAGTTGTCATGCTTGCCAAGTTACTTATTACTTTTATCTTGATTAAGCCACAACTTGTGTCTTGTTAGCCTTGAATTGATCCTTATTTTGAAATGATAAAACATTAAGCTAAATAAGCTTAATCAAGATTTTGAAAAAAAATTATTTAGTACAAGTTCTTATATTATATTATTTTGGTACTTAATAAATAATATGATTTTCAAAGTTTAAATAAACCTTTCTTTATGTTTTTTTATTTCTCAAATAAAAAGTATCTTTAAACATTATTTATTTGAGTTTAAATGAAAGTCCAATTGTTGTTTTTAAAGTGAATTGGACCCAATACAATTTTGATAATATTGGCTTTGAGAAATAGATTAACCTAAGAAAGTTTTTTTACAAGAACAAAGTTTTTCAACATTGAATTTGTTTTATTTGTCTATAATAATTCACAAAGTTTTAATATTTGAATTTTATATGGTTGGAAAGCTCTTTGACTCTACTTTCTAATGGATTAAACAAAATCAAAATCCAAATTTTTTAAAAGAAAGATTTTGAATTTTTACTAGACACTTTGTAGTTATCTAAAAAATGCATAAAAGATAGATTTAAAAATTTACTATAATTCGTACACAATGAATTAGCAATGAATTTTATATGGATAGAAAGCTCTTTAAGTCTAATTTCTAAATCTTCAAACGGTTTTTGATTTGGAATTGTATAACTCAAGATATGATTAAATTAGTGAATGAAGTGCAAAATAGGAGACAACTGCCAAGCTGAACCTAATTGATCCCCTAGCTAAACCAGTCTATCCCCTCTTTGTATGGATCAATTAGTTCAAGCTTTTTAAAGATAGGATTGATCCCTTCACAAAAGGATTAATTAGTTTTTTACACTAAATAAAAATTTGGTTTTAGACTTTAAAAAGGGATAGATCACCTAGAATAGGGGATCGATCACCTGAAAAAGGGATCAATTGGTAACATGTATCGATCAATTGGTTGTGGCCTTTCACACATGAATTTGTTCAAATTTTAACTAACCCAATCGATCCCTTCATATGAGGGGATCAATCACTTATGCCCGGAGAAGCTTAAATGACTAGTTTTTCAAGCTTCAACGAGTATTTTTAACTCCAAACCATCTCCAAATAGCTAGTTCCCCATTTCCTCTATATATTGGGCATTCTAACACACCAAGAAGGTTTATGAATCAAGAAAGCAAGATCAAATAAGTCATATATTCATTCTCTCAAAGAAATCAAGAGTTTTAGAGCTTTAAAGTCGATATCTTTGTACTTGTTGTATCCAAATCATTGTTCTTGTTCATTCATCAAATCTTTTTGTACTTCATTAGGCAAACACTCAACCTTGAAAGGTATTTTAGTTCATGAAAATCATTTGGGTTGTTTTGTGAGTAAGAGGTGAAGTATTTTCTTAATTGTGTAAGGGTAAAGGTTTTTATCTTAAGCCTTAAAAAAAAAGATAAGATTGTATTCTCAATTAAAGATTAATGGATTAAAGCCTTAGTATGGACAATTAAAAGAGAGAACGTAGGTGCCTTGTGGAGAAGGACCAAATCTCTATAAATTCTTATGTTTGATTTCTCTATTTTTATCTCTTTACTTTGATTATAGTTTATATTTACTTCCAGTTCATCAATTTATTGTTATTTGCATCATATTTTGATATTGGTTTTAATATTCCATTGAATTATATTGAAATCTATTTTTGAGAAAAAATTTAGAGAAATCCAATTCACCCTCCCTTTTGGATCACCATCTGACCTAAAAAGCTAACAATTGGTATAAAAGCTTTGGTCTTTTTTTATAGGTTTAACCACCTTGAGTAAAGATCCTATCGCTTAATTTAGGTTCCAAGATGGTAAGGAAGTCATCAAAGCTCCTATATTTGATAAATTTAAATTTTGTGAATGGAGAATAAGGATGAAGGTGTTCATAATGGTCGAAGATTTTAGAGCTTGGAATGTGATAAAGAAAGGGTTTAGAATTCTTTCAAATGATGCAAACTACATGAGGCAAATGATGGATAATGCCAAGGCCAAGAGCTTACTATATGGAGCTTTTGACTCCCACAACTTTAACTTAGTATCAAAGTGTTCAACCTCAAATAAGATATGGGAAAAGTTGGATGAAATACATGAAAGATAACAATCTAGCCAAAATGTATCATGTCTCATGGCTCTTAAAAATCTGAAGGTAACCTCTAATTCTATTAATTGAAATTCATATATTTTTGATGAATTGCAAGATGCTTATAATGAGCCATATTTTGAATGTGAATCATTGAAGAGGAAATATAAGAAAATGATTTCAAAATTGAATGTTGAAAATAATTTTTTGATAAATGCAAAAATTATTTTGGAAAAAGAAAATGAAAAATTGAAAATAGATTTTGAAACCTCTTAAAGTAGAAATAAATTTTTAGAAAAAGAAAATAATATTTT